TTTGTTTTCTTTCACATTTCGGTCAGTTTTAGACCCACTGGTTGATAGGGGGTAATCGATTTCTATTTTTTCCTCCGATTAGGTTATTTGCAGTGGTATGCAGCAATATTAATCTATTTTCGGGGTGTATGATGAAATTTGTTTGGCTTTGGAAAATAGTGCGTCATCCGTGACTGCATCAGATTTTTATCACGCCCAGACACTACTGTCTCGACTGTCGATTAGTTGTCCAACGGCTATTGTCTGCGATAGACATTACTCCAAGGAGCATAAAAAATTGTAACGCTGTTCGTGCAAACTAGCAAGCCTTACCAGTGAGCAAATCAAATGACTGTCGACTGGCTCGGAAACTCTCCTGATTTAAATTCAGTCGAGAATCTGTGGTCAATCTACAAGGATCGACTTCGTGGAATACGAAATACTAACATGTACACTGGATCATATTTCTTTGGGAAAATATGAAAAAGTAAATAATAACGGAATTATTCGTTTTGTTTCAATTAACCTGCACATGTTGGTGGATTTTACAACACATCAACATTTGCAGGGTTTTTAACGTTGAAATTAGTACTTGAATCTATAGATAAGTATAGGTCGTTTTTAAATACCATTTCTGTAAGTATGAGTCGTTTATAACTAAGTCTAATGGTCATTATTAGAATTTTATATTTGACGTATGTATTAGACGTTTATAATTAAGTATTTAGTCCTTTGAGTCTATAGGTAAATGTCTGATTTCTGACCATGAAACACGGGTTCGAATCTGACTATGCTTGATTTGTGATCGGTTTTGTTATCGTGCGGCGCCTGAAAGCATACTCCCTCCGAGGTTCACCCAAGCCTTTGTAGAGAAAACTATTTGGGAGTCCATGGTTTGTAACCGAGGGTCGGAACGGCCTTGATAATATGCTCTCTTTCAGGAACTGTAAATAAGATCCGTATAAACTCTATGAACTATGAACAAACGCAAATATAGACACGCATCAGTGGGCACGTCCTACCAAACATTATTATAGGTAAGTATTATTATAGGTAAGTATTATTATAAGTAAGTATTATTATAGGTAAGTATTAACCGT